TCTGTTCGGCAGGGGCTGATGCTCCTCTCGCAGGCTGGCATAGAAGGAGGCAGAGATGGAAAGGCACGTTGCATCCAGGCTCTCACAGAGCAGGGTGAAGCACTGGGGGAGACACAGTGGGGCCATCACTGTAGATCAAGGGTGAGATGAGAGGGAAGGGCAGTCGGGTAGGAGGCTGTGGGGGGACAGTAGAGATGGGAGAAGGACTCATGTGCTGGAGCTTCAGGGACCCCTAAGTGTCCTCTCTGGGCAGATTACTGTGTGGGAGCCAGTAACCCTGGCTGAGAGAGGGGTATATGCAGAGGCACAGCCAGGGAAGGTGCCCTCACAGAGAGGTCCTTTCTGCATGTCATCCCCCACAGTACCCTGGTGGGTGAGACAGCCTGCCCTGAACAGAATGCATCAGATCCCACAGCTGGGAGCAGGGTCCTCAGCCTGCGCTTCCCCTGACACACACACCCAGCCCCACAGCTTCTATCCCTGGGGGAGAGAGTGGGGAGAAGGGAGACAGGGGCACCCTTACCAGGAGGCTTTGCTGGCAGAGTCGCATCTCGCTGTCGGCTGGCTCAGCCAGCAGCTCCGGCAGCAGGGCTAGGAAGCAGCTGGCACTCTCCCGAAAGGCCTGAAGGCTGGGGGAGGCAGCAGGGGCAGAGGAGAGCAGAGAAACACTGGCTGTGAGGACAGTGTGTGCCCAGGCCCACATGGCCCTGGCTAACGGAGCAGGCAGCACACACTAGCACTGTGAGCTAGTGCCAGGAGGCAGCACAACCGGACTCTACTCAACTATGCCTTCCCCTTAATTAGCCCCACTAATGGAAAGCGCTCCTCTGCGAGCACAGCGACATGGCATGAAGCACTTAGTCCATGATGCTTCCCCACGGAGTGAGCTCCAGCCACAGAGTAAGAACACCACCCTGCCACCTACTACTGGGTTGCCACAGTGGCCGCAAGAGACCTCAGCGCACAGAGGGTTGTCCCTACCTGTCCTTCTGTTCACTGTCCTCCAGGCTGCATTCACTGCTGAAATAAACTGTGGTCACCATGAGGAGGTCTGCCAACACTGTGATACACCAGGGCTGCTGCAAGATCCAGAAAGAAACAGCAATTGGGGATTGTCTGCTAACTATCCCAACACCACCGCAGCAGGATCCTTCCCTGCCAGGACCTCCCCCTTCTCAAGGCGGCCTGGAAGAGACACTGGTCCTGTGAGCCAGCTCCAGCAGAACACCAGGGCCTTCTCAGCACCAGCACTCTACAGGGCTGGAAGGAGCTCAAATTTCTCTGGGGTCCTACACCCACCTGCTTGGTGCTACCACTCTCCAGGATCTGCTTGGCTAGACAAAGCAGGGACAGAGGCACATTCAGCTCTCGGCAGAAGTGGTCTAGCAGCTCAGAGTCACATCGGGTAGCCAGGAGGTTGCCCACAACACGGAGCACGGGACGGAGACGGGAAGCTCCCTCCAGCATCCCTTCCAGCACCTGGACACAGAGAAGCCAGAAGAGCTCATGATCAGCAGCAGTTTTGGCCTCTCCATCAGCCGTGGGGCAGCCCTCCACCCCCTCAGACAGAGGACAGCAGGAGACCAGATGGCAAGCTAAGTGCATGAGACAGCTCCGGCTCCTGAAGAAGCAGAGGATCTCCTTGCTGACTGGACTGAGGACTCTCCCAATGCTCCCAACCCAATCCTGGGGAAGAAGGAAGCATCCCTGTCCCCAGTTGTAGGTGCCTGGGCCAGCCATCACTCACCTGCTGAGCAGAGTCTGCCAGGCGGGCCTGGGCACGGTGCCGGAAGGCCGGCTCCCTCAGGAGGCTCAATGGAGTGCTGAGCTGCAGGGCCGAGGGCTCAGTAGCCTCAATCAGGTGCTGCCACTCCTCGTCACTCTCCAGCTCCTAGTCATGGAGAAGAGAGGACTGGTGCCACAGACACTGCCTGCCCCACAGTCTCTATACCAGCCCCTGGGGACTGGGCCGTGCTATCCTCACCACAAAACACCGTCTAACCTCACTCTCCAGGTCCACGGTGTCAATGCTGCGCCTGCCCCGGGGCTCTGCCCTGCCAGCACCAGGCTGTGGAGGGGCACCTGCTCCAGGAAACTCCTGCTCATAGTCTCGAGTGATGCTGTGCTCCCTGGCCAAGGAAACAGGGCAGTCAGTGAACAACCCTGCCTTCCCCTCTAACTCCTGTCCCAGCCTCAGCCTTCCCTCACCGGGGGTCGGGAGGAGGCTCCTCCAACTCCCACTCTGTCAGGCTGCTCTCTCCTTGCGCAACACCTGGGTTCTTCTCATTGGAAGCAGCAGGTGGCTCCCCCTCCAGGAGCGCTGCCTTCTGAGGAGCTGCTCTGGGCCTATGCCCTGGGCATCCTTTGCCAGAGTCCTTCGCAGATGCACCACCTGCCTTCAGTTGCCCCTGGGTGATGGCAGAGAAGCTTGGTCAGGGCAGAGTTACTAAAGAGCCAGATGAGTCCCCGAGACCCCACCACCCTGAGGGTCCCACGTTCTGCTTTGTTTGTGGCTGACACCCCAGCCTGGTGAGGTACCAATATACCTTCTGTCTTTCCCCCCAGGTCACACTTCAGATACCCCCTCCTTTGCCCTCACTGCTGGACACAGGCAGAGGAACCCCACTCTTTCCTCCACCTTTTCCACCTTTTTCTGTGCCTCCTCGGCCATCTTCTGACGGGCCTTTCTCAGGATCCTGGACTGGCCGCTCCTGGGGGCCAGGGAATGAGCTTGTTGCTCCTTCAGGGCCTGCAGCTCTGGGGACAGCTTGGTGGTGAAGGGGTTTGAGATCCCATGCTCTTCCGTGTCATCAATCACTGGGGAGACAAAGGGAGAGCTTCAGCAGCAGCTCTCCCTTGGGACACAGGGAGAGTGATCGGCTCTGGGATCCCAGGGGAATCTGGGGGGACCCAGAGCATCCCAGAGGCAGGAGCTAGGGATCGGTGCTTGGAGGAAGCTGAGAGGAGGGATGCAAAGACCAGGGTAGTAAAAATAGCAGGGCAGGGTGGTACTCCCAACCTCGGGGCAGTAGGAGGAGGAAAAAGACTTTGCCAGCACTGGAAGAAGAGCTGGTACTCACCAGTAACCCGCCCAGCAATGAAGGGGTGAGAGAGCAGCTCTGGCCATGACAGGCGCTGGCGGGGGTCCTTCATCAGTAGTCCCTGCAGGAAGCTCTGCAGGGCAGCACAGCACCAAGGTCACCAACACACGCTCAGCACCCGCCAATGAGCACAGTGTACCCACCGGCCTCCCCCAGTGCGGGCACCCAGAAGGCTGCGTTCCCTGCCTGGCTCTGGGAAGGGAGAAGCTCTAGTGCAGCGGGCAGATGGGAAGAAACTTCCCAGCTCAGTAAATTACTCCTCTGCTATTGGCCCCAGTTTCCCAGCTTATGGACAGCAGTGCTAACGGCCCTCTCCCAGGAGGCCCGGCTTTCATCCCTCCTCTCTGTTCTGAAATCCCTGCTAGGAGCCATAAAACCTTGGCGTGACCCAGCAGGGCAGCAGGCAAGGCCAAAGCTGCTACCACATTAACAGATCTCACCCCACAGACAGGGCCTTCACCCTTACCTTGAAGACTGGGCTTATGGCCGCAGGCCATTTGACGGGGTCCTTGACGATGAGGCTGACGAGCTGGAAGATGCTGCTGGTGTAGAAGGGAGGGGTACCCACAAACAGCTCGTATAGGATGCAGCCCACAGACCACAGGTCCGCCGTGTGGTCATACGGCCGCTCCTCCACCAGCTCAGGGGACATGTACAGCGGGGTGCCCTTGATGGAGGTCAGCACCATGGTGTGGATGCTCATGGCACGGGCAAACCTGCTCAGAGCAAAGCACATATGGTCACTTCAGGCTGAAACATCCAGTACAGCTCCCAGGGAGATCCCTACGAGTTTACCAACACTTCTCCCCTCCGGAGTCCAAAATCCCCCATCCCTGCTCAACCTCTACATACACACAGAATCCAGGTCCCCTTCCACACTCCCCCCTTCTCCTCTACAGCACCCAGGACACCTCTTGGCTGCCCTGAATCCAAGTGTCCCCCTCAAGCTGGCCCCCAGCACCCACCCGAAGTCACAGAGCTTGACGACGCCATCTTTGCCCAGCAGGATGTTCTGGGGTTTCATGTCACGGTGCAGGATGCGGTGGGAGTGCAGGTAATACAGAGCAGAGACCAGCTGGGCAGCTATGGTCTGGACCTGCCGGAGACACAGCAGCCTCACCCTGTGTCCCATGGTACCACCAGCTGGCACAACCATGAGGTCCCCTACAGCCTGGCTTCCCCAGTACCCCCACTCCTGCTCTTGCTCTGTCTGGGCCAGCAGTGCCTTGGAGTAGGCCAATGGCCGAGGCAGCAGCCTGGTGCTATGGTCCTTGGAGTGGGAATAGGGAAATTGAGGTCCCTGCTGGACCCCACTGTCCCCCAGTGCAGTTTGGCCCCCTCTCCACCCCCTTCAGAAGCTCTGCCAGGTAAAGCCCCAGAGGCACCTTCAGCCTCCTGATGTCTCCTGGCCCACAGCAGAATCCCGCTGCCTGCAAGCAGACAAATCCTGTGCTCTCCAGCCCGTAGCTGTGTGGCCACTGCCATGGCAGTTACCTGGTCCTCGGGCAAACTCCCATCGTCCTCCAGGATCTGGAAGAGCTCCCCCTCTGCGTAGTCAGTCACCACCACCACCTGGAGGGAAGAGCAGCATGGTGACATCAGGCATGCACCCAGCCGTGTCCTCACCATGCTCTGGGGACTGGGACAGAGCAGGATAGGACACATGAGTGAGATGCTGGGGTGTCATCATGTACAGCCCATCAGCTTGGGCTGGGACCTGGGGTGGGAAAGAGCCCCCGTGGCTGCACTGCAGAGAGAGCCAGGCACTTAGCAGAGGCCTTATGGCTGTCCTTATCTCGACCGCCAGCAGAAACCAGGGAAGAGGGAAGGACAGGACAAGCCCAGAATGCAAACTTCCAAGCGCAGTGGGTAGAATCACTCCCTTGAGCTTGTTTTGAATCTGCTGCCCAATTACTTTATTTCATGCCCTCATGTCCCATAGCAGAGTGTTCAGTCCGTTCTTACCATACTGTCTCCATGAGAGCTTAAATCAGTAAAAAGTCAGTCTCTGAAGAGCCTGATGAGGTGACTGAAGAGTCACCCTCATCCTGTGATCCCAAACCACTCCTCTTGCATCGCACACCCCGCGCACAGCTCCTTCACCTCTGCACATGACCTAGTGCACCCCACACAGCCCGGATAGGTGCTGGCTCCCCATGCGGCACATCTTGCAGGGCTCTGCAAAACACTGACCAGGCCCTGGGAGGGTGTCACCAGCATCTCCTGAGAAAGAAGTCCCTACGACAGCAAGGGCCAGCCCTCGTTCCCCTGTCCCAGTCAAGCAAAAGCATCTGCCCAGAGTAGTCCCCTTTACCTCCTTGTCGGTCTCGAAGCTGTCGAGCATTTGGATGATGTTGGGGTGATGGAGGCCTCTCATGATCTCAATCTCCCGCTGCAGGTTCTTCAGCTCCTTCTCAGACCGCCCCACCTTGGGGATGAACTTCAAGGCCACCACCTTTCAAAGTAGGCAAAGATGGGATCAGACCAGGCTCCTATCTACCCTGGCAGAGGCTGCATTTAATCCAAACAGGACTCGGCATTTTCCAGCTGAGCACACCAAACAAGACATTTGTTCACTGGATCCCTAGGAGCTGGGGCTCCCCCCAGGTCCTTGCACATCAGTACAGGTGCTCCCAATACTTTGCACACTGGCCTTTAAAGCAAAGAAATTTAATCAGTGAGTGCACACAAAACCAGGACTGCCAGAAGCACGGAACAGGACCTAGAGATGCTGGTGGACAGCAAGCCTAACACGAGCCAGCAGCATGCCCTGGCAGTGAGGAGCACTAGCAGCACCCTGGGCTGTAGCAACAGGCAGGAGTTGGAGGGAAGTGATTATTGCCTTTTGTTTGGAACTTCTTAGACCACATTGGCAATATTGTGGCCAATTTTTGGCCCAGAAAGACATCAACAGGCTGGAGTGGGCATAGCAGAAGCCACCGGGATGGTGAGGGGGCTGAAGCACATGGGAGGATAACACAGGGATTACGAACTGAAACAGGAGAGCTTCAACTCGATATAAGGAAAAAGCATTCACCCCAAGTATAGTCAAGCGCTGGTTGTGGATGTTTGTCCTTGAGGTTTCACAGGATCTGAATTTAGTGCTGGCCCTGCTTGTAGCAGGGGATGGACTGGAGACCTCCTGAGGTCCCTCGAGCCCGAATGACTCTGTGCCAGCAGGAGCTGGCCAGGAACGTCAGCAGAAAAATGAATGAGTCCCAAAGGCGTGGCAGGGCCCGGGAACCCCCCAGCCCCCAGCAATGCATCCCCAGCGCCACAGCCCTCTCCTCACCTGGGCGCTGTGTTTCCGGCGCCCCTTGTACACGCGCCCAAAGGAGCCTTCGCCGACCATTTCCAGCACGTGGTACTCCTCCATGGCGGGCGGGCGGCAGAGCTGCGAGGCAAGG